TGAGCTGATGACTTCAGATAGCTTTGAGACTGAAAACAAACATCATCACTCGACTCAGCGTGGTCGATTACCCCTCTCTAGATCTATTTTCGGCTGATCCAGGAACAACTGGCCGAAATCTTGGAACTCTGGAAAACCCTTATAACTCCTGAATGGAACAAGCTAGAAACATCAGCTTTACGTGGTTCGAAGAGAACAATTTTCTCTATCGAATACATGTATTAAAAATGAAAATTAAATATTGAATCCTTGAATATCATCGTAGCTTTCTAAAGATCCACCTGAAAACCCTCTAGAAACCCGGTCGAAAATTTTTCTTCTTCTATAGTTCGATGTTCTCCGGACTTGGCTACAAACTGACGAAAACCGTTTCAGGATATCTCTTTGCATTACCAAGTTATTCAAAGAGGAGCATAGTATCTTATATTTTGAATCCTATAGTAGTTTTAAACTCAACTGGATTTTAATCTGAACTCCGACATATATTTGGAGGTATAACAGAGATAGATTATAATAAAGTCTGTTTGTGTCTTAACTGATTCAATAATTATTCAAAAAAAAATTACACGATTAGGAAAGTTTTTGTATAGAAATAGAAAAACTAGATATGCTAAGTTCTTATAGATAGTCTTTCGAATGTTTTGTATCCATGTCCAATTTATCAAAATTTTTGATCAGTAGTTTACATACGATCTACGAAATATTGATATTATTAACTTAATGTCACCTCTCCGACCAGATTTGCGCAAGCGGATGCGTTTACGAAGATACATGATGACTAAGACGAATTATTCTCACATATTGTCCAACTTTAATGTGTGATACATTGGAGGTGATGGGTCCAAACATCGAAGTTTATATTTATTTTCACCCTGGTATTGAGACGTTCTAACGTACCATTTACCCTGAAAATCTTTTTCGTTTTCATTCCACTCCAAGTGAATATTAACATTGTGTCCCAAGTTATGCTGTCTGTTTGGACCTGTACCAAGAATATACGTTTTAACAATGCCCATTTTTAAAGTCCGAGTTGAATAGACTCCTGTTAGCGTATAGTCTCCAACATCATCCGTCCCGTGACCAGTTAGTGTTGAACGTTCATAATCGAATTTTATTGTACATTCGGGCAGTTTATGATAATAACCATCCTGAAAATATTCACCAGACCATGAACCAGAGTGAAATATTTCGGGCTTTTCTCCAAGATCTTGTGAAAAAAGTTCCCTTCTGTTAACCCATTGACTTGTAGAATAGAACGTTCTACCTCTACAGCATTTTCTAATGTAACAGAACGACAGGATGCCGATTAGTATCACACCAATCGCTCCAAAAATGGAACCAAGCACTATTTTGCATATTATACTACATGATCCCGTGCCGCCCGATCCAAAATAATAACCTCCGCCACCACTAAAACCTCCGCCGCCCCCAGACGATCCACCACCACCGCCACCTCGTTGTGACTGGACTCCAACGATTAAAAGTAAAATATAAATAACGTTTATGTAAACAGTTTTCAGGTGATGCATGTTTCTTTTTCTGATTTCCGATGAAAATGCTCAAGTAATTCTTTATGTACAGAGGTAAAACTAAATTATATATATTAAAGAAGGAGGAGAAAGAAAGAAATTCTGTATGTATGAATCAGTATTCTTTTTTCTCTTTCTCCCACACGTTTGTGAATGATGACGTTCAAAGGAGAAAACAAAGAACTAAAAGGTAAACAGTAATAGTGGCCGTAAAACATTGTGAATAACAAAATAACAACGTCATTATCCACTTCAGTAAAGCACAAAAGTGGAACAGCTTGCCATGAACGTCATGAAAGAATGATGCAATTTATCAATACAATAAATTTTGCTTATTTTAAACAAGATTTGTAAAAGCTCATGATTCAATCATAAATCCTAGTTTCGTCATCCATCGCATGCATTCAAGAGTAAACGATTTTAACACAAGTGTATCTCTACCAACCCATGGTTAGAATTTTGATTGGTACTATCGATTGCACTGGATTGCTATCAAGATGTTTTCGATTCGAGTACAAATTCATAGGTCAACTTCACAAGTCCAGAAAATCAAATCATTTTCGGATTTTTAATTACTCACCTGGATCTATTTTATCGTAGTAGTTGAGTCGAAAGGCACCCGCGTGGATTGATGGTGTAAAGACCTATTTCCTAGAGTTATACTGGCATATTTCGTAGACTTTACATTATATCACTGTTAAACAATTTTTTATCACACTCATTGCTATAACTTCTGTTAAAATCTGTTAGTTAGGTATCTTCATTTTGAAATGATTGCAAGAATTGATTAACATATTAAAGATGTCAGCAACTTTCAGCTTATATGTCCTCTAGTTTTAGCGAATAAAAAGAAATCGCCGGCATCAACAAGGAATAATTATTCTTCAGGTATGAATTAAACAAAGCATAAAACTTTTAATTTATGGTAAGGAGGAAACCATGGAAATGATATTTGTCATGTGTTGAGTATTGTATATGCGACTAAGTATTGCCTTAGTTATAAATCGAACAGACTAAACATTCACCTGAAAATGGCTACCTGTAATGATTACTTCACAGCAAAAGCTAATCGAAGTGAAAACTTTGAACCGTTCACATTGTTGTACGATACTAGTATTAGTGCACAAGATGAAAGTCAAACTATTCAAATAAAACTGCGAAATTTAATTAATTATTTAAAACCTTTTGAGAGTATCGAGCAATGTCAACGATATATTCAACAGTTCGATAATGAAAAAATTGTTCTTATTGTATCTGATGGATTAGGCCACGTGGTGATACCACAGACACATGATTTAAAGCAAATAAATTCGATTTATATTTATTCTGAGAATAAGCAAATACATAAAACATGGATGAAACAATTCAAAAAGGTAAACTGTATTTTAAATGAGAAAGAAGGAAGAATACGCTGACGATCCTTAGGGGTATAAAATAACGACATATGTGTGAATAAGTTACCAGTTTCAAGTTACTGATATTTCTCCTGCAGTAACAAGCCTCTCAAAGAGTCAAGAAAGATTTTTCATTCAACAGTCAGTGTATAATCAATAATAATAACACGCAAGAATTGAATAAATCCAATGCCAAGCAAATACCACGAATTGT